CTTCTCTTCTCTTCTCTTCTCTTCTCTTCTCTTCTCTTCTCTTCTCTGATACAATACATTGAATCCAGGGCATCACATATGCTAGACAAGCACTCTATAACTAAACTATGCCAACAACAAATGACATATTCTTCACTTTATAATTTTACTTCAAATAAAAAAACAATATTCAAAAGCATAAAAATATTTGATCATTCACGTTGCATTTATTTGCCATCCACAATTTTTCCTGCATTGTAAATATCAGTGTTCTCTGTGTCTTTCCAATGCTGCATTTTCAAAATAATTTTTTTGAAATTTTTGATACTGAATTTGTTTCAGGAACCAAAGATGTAGAGCTGCTATGCACTACTGAATGCAGAGTTTGCTGCTAGAGCTTATGTGACTTTTCTATTTCTTCTTGTCAGTAGTCATATGTTTGCTCTTTAGGTGTGAAAGGAAAAGAATAAGCTAACCCACTTGCATTTCAGTGTGCCAGCAAAGTGAATGGAGGGAAGTATGGAACCACCAAAGACTATCCTGATGATGCCATTCGATTCGCAAGGACGCATCCACTAATGTATCAGCCCATAAAACCTGCTCATAAAAAGCCAATACTTGTGAAGACAGATGGAAAGTATAACCTGAAGCAACTAGCAGTAGATCGAGTGGAAGCTGAAGATGGCCAGTATGATGTTTTATTTATTGGGACAGGTAAAGAATTAGAAAGTACTGATACACTTTAACTCACCCTCAGATAACTTTTACCAATCAGCACATATCCTGTTGTTCCACTAACACGTTTGGAGACTGCTAAAGATAAAATGACTAAATGAATTTAAAACTTCAATTAATGTCATCATATTAAGTCTCATTTATGAGAAGAAATTTGAAAATTGTTGAGCACCCAGAGTTATGAAGAACAAATTCTGTGTGGTGCTTCAGCTTCTCAGCTTCAAAATCCCCTTCTCTGTGTGCAGCACAGCACTGAGCACAGCAATGATTTTAAGGAGATTTCTTAAGTGTTCTGCCTGTGGAGTTTCACATTGCCAGGGGTCCTGGCCTGAAAAAGAGTGCATTGCTAAAACCCACCGTTCATGCTTCTCTAGTTCACTGCTTTTTCTTTTCTAAAATAATATTTAAGCAAAAAAAAAAAATCCCATTAAATTTATCATAACAGACCCTCAGTGTAGGGTGTATTTTATCACTATTGATAAGGTTAATAATGTGCTCTGAGATTGCTATATTATGTAAGAATCAGACCCCTGTAAGAAACCTAAAATTACCTGAATGCTAGTTCACACAGGGTGATTTCTGACAATTAAAATAAAGTAATTTCCTGAAAACAAGACTGAAGCGTGATTAAAATGATTAAAGTATTTTAAATGCCATAGAAAGCAGAACACATATCCAGCCACCCAAAAGCTGTTTTCTTGTTTGATTTATCAAACCTCTTTTAGAACATTCAGGAAATATTGTCTACATGTTATTTAACTCACCATACTGGGCCACAGTCTTCCAGAGCAAATTAAGCTATTAGAGATGTGTGACAAATGCACTGGAAAAGCTAATAAATAGTAGATTCCCTCCCCCAATTACCAGACAGGGCTCTAGCACACCACTGGGCTGCCATTATTGCAAAATCACTGCTTCTAGATAAATAAGTCAACTTCTATCTACTTTTGCTTTTGCCTGATGTCGGTGTACTTAGTTTCAAAAACGTGACAATTTTTATTCCTTTTAGCTAACAGAAAATAAAGGTAATTTCTATCAGATTAATTATAAAATAGTTTTATTAACTCATATATAGGATTTGATAAAATTTTATAAATTGCTCAATTCTCACGAACGTTCATGGATTAATACTTCCAAAGGTCTAATATATTTTATGAATTATTGTTTCTACCCATACCAAGTTTGCATGTGGGAAAATGGATTTCTTATTAAAATTTTAAGCAGATAGATCAAACTCAGAATGTCAGAAATAATAAAAGATAAAATGGAAATCTAAACTAGAAATACAGTTTTATAAAACAGCAGGAAGCCATGAGATCTGAGTAGCTGACTGGTCTCTTGATGGGGTAGACTTGGCCGGCCAGTAAGCCCAGGTATCATTCTGTCTTTGCACACCCAGTGCAAGGACTGCAGATGTGCTGCTATGTCCAGATGGTACATGGGTGTTGAGGCAGAACTCATATCTTCATGATTACATGGCAAACAGTTTCCACACTGAACAATCTTGCTAGCCTATCAAATTTCAATATGGATATATCTATTCCTGGTTCACTGATGTAGCCATTTCCTTTTAAATTCAATCTAAAGATACAAATTATATCAGAGAAAACCTGGAGCTGAAAAATATTTTCTAGGGCCCATGTTGTTAACTTTTATTATCCCAAACTAAATATTTGGAAAATAGAATACATAGGTCTCAGACTGCAGCCACTGATAGTGTTCACCACTATCAAAACCAACAAAATAATCTGTGCTTTTCTTGGATAAAAGTGTTACACACATTTTTACAGGTAGTTAAGTAGATGGAGACTATCTTCTTGACTGATGTATCACAAAAGAAACGTCTAAAATATGGTAATTTGAATTCTGAATCTATGATTTTGCTTTTTTATAAACCAAAATATTTGAATATACGTTTTGTATTATAATACAGGTTATATATACATATATCATTTAAACTTTTGCTGAGGCACCCAAAATTGTTTTTTTCTAGTTGCAGTTATTGATGTGTAAGTAGCCACATGATTTTAACTGCCTGTGATTACATGCTTTGTGTAATCATATTTTCTGTTTGAAGACTCAGTCCTTCCTTTGATTATTGCCAATTTTTCTTTTCACAGATACGGGAATTGTGCTGAAAGTGATCACAATTTACAACCAAGAAACAGAGTGGATGGAGGAAGTCATTCTAGAGGAGCTTCAGATATTCAAGGTAATTAAATGAAGATTCAGATCCCACACACAGTCAAAGCTGAAAATAAAGAGAAAATGCACTATACTAGTTTCAGAAGTTTTTCTCAAATAACTGTGTTTTGAATTCAGAGAAATTTGGAGTGGAGAGTAATTTAAAACCTAGTGTTTGTCTCCCATAGTCAGAATGCTCAAAAGTGGGAATATTCATGTAAGAGAAAAAATACTAGTATCAAACCACAGTCATAAAAAAAATAGCACCTATCTCACATGTGGGTTCCAGGACAACTACTAAAGACTCACATCTTGCACAAACATATTATTAACACAGTCACTAAAGTGACATATTTCGAACAGTGCACATTGTGGCAGGAGGAGCACACTATGTCTAACCATAATAGATTAAGTACACAAAAGTCACCAAGAAAAAGAAAAAATAGAAAATTATATGAAAGCATAGAACGAATTTGTGAAAATACATAATTATGTATATGAACCTATAACATAACCAGCACACATATACTGAGAAGTATCATTAATGGAACAGATATCATGATTAAGCCCATGAGCAGTCCTCACTCATATTTCTTCCTAAGAGGATCCTGCAAATTTCTGATCACAATACTTTCATCTGAACAATTCACAGACTTGCTTTACGCTTGTTTCTGTTTAGAGTATCATAGTCTACATCGTTGATGACATAGTGCTGAGCTTACTTTCAATAGCATCATAACTCTATGGTTGAATGAAGCTCAAGTCATACTAACTGTACATTAGGACACACCACAGCTGTTCTGAGTTTGGAAACACTTCATAGCACATCAGCATCATACTTGGAGCATGTTTTTTATTCTTGCATTGCAGGCATCTATATAAGATTTAATTTTGCATTTGGAACAGTGGCTCTTATTTTCAGTCATACCAGTGTATCTCTTCACAATATCCTTTTAGGGGCGTTGCTACAAGGATGAATAAATGAATAATGCCCTCATGTGCAAAGAGTTTTGTTGTCAAAATGTTACAAAAAAATTCCACATGCATAAAAATAAATAAATAAAACAAAACAAGACAAAAACTGATAAGGTAGGAGAGATGCCTCAGGCAGAAGAGGTATTTGCTGCCAATACAAAGTCCTGAGTTTGATCCCAGGAACCCACATGGTGGAAGGAAAGAACAGATTCCTGGAAGGAGTCCTATCACCTCCACACAGGCAACGTGGCACAAGGACACACACTCAATAAATAAATTCAAGAGTAATTTAAAACTAACATAAAAGATCAAACAGTTTCTCTTAAAAATTAAATCCTCAAAGGGTAACTATTCCCAGAGTGAATTCCATCTGCCTGGCATTTCTGTTTGTAGGATTAATGGAGAATTTCTTGTGCTCATTAAAAGGTTTGACTATTAAGCAACATTGCTAAACTAACCTGGAGGCCCCCAATGGATTGTCCTTCCTCTACTGTAATCCTAAGAAAACGAGGTTCTTCATCTTGGTTGAAGAATGTACAGTGATTTACTATGGCTATTCCAATACACACATGATCCACACAGGCTCGGGTTCAAATAATCAAAACGGTTTACCTTAGTAAAATTTCTACTTTATTATTCTAAAGATAAATGAGTTTATGAATAAAAAGGTATTATTTAAAGCAGTTACTATTTACTCCCGAGACAAATAATAAACTGACTGGATCTTCAGTTGTTCTCACTGGCACAACTGTTCCACTGCACTACAATAATTAAAAGGTGGTTTACTAGAGTTGGATTTACACAGTGATATACTAAAGCAAGAACTATAGGCTGCAAGCATAGAATCACTCTTAACTATTTTGACTTCTTGTTAAGCAGCTAGTTCTATATTTACTAAAAATAAAACACTTTGATTGATTTCAGGATCCAGTTCCTATCATTTCTATGGAAATTTCTTCAAAGAGAGTAAGTTGCTTACATGTCTGAGTCTTTTCTGTTTGTTAGTTAAAACACACTGTTCAAGAATGTTAACAAGGGGGAGTTAGTAAGACCTGGCGAGGACAGGAGCTCCACAAGCAGAGCAACAGAACCAAGAAATCTGGTCATAGGGGTCTTTTCTGAGACTGATACTCCAACCAAGGACCATTCATGGATAAAACCTAGAACCCCTGCACAGAAGCCCAGGACAGCTCAGTATCCAAGTGGGTACCCTAGTAAGGGGAACAGGGACTGTCTCTGACATGAACTCGGTGGCTGGCTCTTTGACCTCCTCCCCCTGAGGGAGGAGCAGCCTTGTCAGGCCACAGAGGAGGACATTGTAGCCAGTCCTGATGAGACCTGATAAGCTAGGGTCAGATGGAAGGGGAGGAGGACCTCCCTTATCAGTGGACTTGGGGAGGGGCAAGGGAGATTAGGGAGGGAGAGTGGGATTGGGAGGGGCTGAGGGAGGGGGCTACAGCTGGGATATAAAGTGAATAAAATGTAATAAAATAAAAATTTAATTAAAGAATGTTAGCGAATGATTTGTATAAGGAAAGGAGGTTGCTCATTATTTTATACTGTCACTGTAGGAACCCAGGAGCTATCTTCTGTAAATTCATCTCTGCTAATGGCTTCTTATTTCATGTAGCAACAGCTCTACATTGGATCCACCTCTGCAGTGGCACAAGTCAGATTCCATCACTGTGACATGTACGGGAGCGCTTGTGCTGACTGCTGCCTGGCTCGAGACCCTTATTGTGCGTGGGATGGCATTTCCTGCTCCAGGTACTACCCAACTGGCGCACACGCAAAGAGGTAAAAAGCCGTCATCCTTCCTGGCATGTTTCCATTGTTCTTTCTTTCTTTTTGTGCCCATTCAATGAAAGTAAGCTGTTTTAATCTAAACAAATTACTTCGGCTGTATTTTGATGATAAATCTAAGCATTTACAGTTTGCAATTTCTCTTCACATGACTTTGATGCACTGTCATGTACCAGACATGACCATGGATGAACATTCCTTTTGGTCATTTACTTTTTTATCTTACTGGGAATTAAATATACCCCTCCTTTGCTTTCCCTGTCCCCTGCAAGACATAATGAAGTTCAGATAAACTTCAGACATAGAAATGGCAACATCACACTTGAAGGATTCAGAGACTTAAAAAGAAAATAAATAAATAAATCCTAAAACACATTCTGTAGTTTCGCATGTCCTCTCAAGCAGCTGGTCTTCATTTATTTCATTAGAAAGTGAATATTTTAACTCCTAGGCAAATGCATGACCTGTCTAATTAATGAAATGTGTGATTTAATTCAACACAAATGAAAGGTACCGAGAGACCTCTGAACTCTAATGTCTATAGATCTATGATGTCATTGCCATTTATAAGGAAAAGTCAATGCAAGCTATATTAAACAGGATTTTAGGCTCAAGAAGCACTTTGAAGGGTATTTTTCCACTCAAACTACACGAGATTGTATACATATTAAGAAAATAAATAATAAAAAGTCTTATATAATAAGCAGAATGTTTTTTTTTCTCTCACAAGGAATAAATAAAACACACAGAGAACTATCTAAAATTCCCTCAGAAAGAAATTTGTATGAATTCCAGTTATATGTGCTGCATAATTTTTGGTTATTTTTTTCCATATATATTTTGAATCAAATTGAATCTAAATCAGTATAATTATCCTTTTATGATCACACAAAAATATCTCTCTCTCTCATTCTCTTTCTCTGTCACATGCACAAACATAAACGCCTTCAGTAATTCAAAACTTTTATTAATTTGACTTGAGCAAATCAACATCCTAAGAAGGATTTAAAGACAGGGGAGAATAAGCCTAAGGTGAAGAGAGCCTTCCAGAGAAGTGTGGGCCAAACAATGTACCAACTGCGCTAAATAAGTGAGCAACTCATTCTATTTTCTGCAAATGCTTATAGGTATTTGAACTCATTCTTGAAGAATAAAGCTGCGACAGTACTTTAAATGCTGAGGACAGTTTGTTCAGCTACTACGTGAGTTCTGTCCTGCAAGCCTGGGGTATAAGGAAAAAATGCTTGATCTTCTGGTGGTGCAGAGCAGAACTGCCAACAGTGCTGATGGTAGCTCACCGCTGAGTACTTTAGCTACTTGATCAAGTGCAGTGTACATAACGTTTTATTGCATTCTCTATAAAACTGAGAACACTCTTACGAGAGAGTCTGTGGAGGTTCCAGTTGAAGGGGGTTAATCTAGGCAAAGGCATAGAATGCACAAGAGGAGCCATGCCACACCACAATGACGCTAAGCTTGAACCAGTCAGTTTCCAGGGCTAATGTTTCTTCATTTGGTGTGCCTCTTTTAAAAGTGTGCAGCCATAAAGTGGATAATATATATAAAAGTAGGTTAAACGAGTTACTTTGAAAAGGATAGATAAATGTACAAAATAGCAGACTAGGGATAGCAGTAAGAGATAATACTGAAGCCATGCTTATAAATAAATTCACTGAGTTCAGGGTACTAGAGAACTTTCACCGTGTCAAATTCTTTGCAGCTATCACCCACTCCTGGAGGAGAAGCTTTTGGGTAAGTGCCAGCACATGGAAAGAAAATGGTTTGCTTTTATAGGATCAGTTCTGCCTCAAACTTGAATAGAAGCTGGAAGAGAAAACTGGTCATTTACATAAACATTTTTTTTTCTGCTCACAGAGTGAAAATGAGTCAGTGGGGAAAGACTAATTCACAATCTGGCCACTTCTTTAAACTGGCCTTCCAAAATACACTGTAATCTTTGGAGCTGACTCCTTTTCTCCTCCTGGATCTCATTTTGTCTATTTTCAGTGTCCTCTTTAAAGGTTTCTAAGAAGTAAGGAATATAAGAAAAATATGCAGCCTTCAAGAATGCATGGCTCCTTTGCTCAAACATCCTTCTTGTCCTGATCATAATACCTGTTTTATTTAATGCTGGGGTAAGGGACAATTATATTAGAGTACTATAACAGGAACAGAAAGCTTATTGGAAGATGTAACCTTTTTGTGAAGGCATGTTTCCAATTATTTCAAACAAATTTTTGAATTCTTTATATACCATTCAACTTGCTTATCTAGAGTGGTCTAGAATGTTGTTTCTATTATCCGCATATGGCTATTATAATGATCTCAATAAAGCATTATCTCTGCAACATGGAAACCATTTCCTTCCCTCACTCTTTTAATCTCCACTCCGTTCATTACCATTGTCCAGCAGAATGAAGCAGTGGTCATCTAAGGGAGCACCCACACTGGCAGTTGAAGTCACTCCCTGTCTGCTGTCAGTTACACCTAGCTGTCCACACTAGAGTAAAAAAAAAATCTAAAACCTCCTAGCTCTGCTTTTACTATAAGGTTTTTTTTACTATAAGGTCCTAGCTCAAAGCAATGACACCCATTGAAGTTCTAACCTTAATTTTATAAAATTCTGGGTCTTCTGTGAGATTTTCTAATTGGCGGTTTATTTAAAATGCATATTCTTTTGTGTATAGAACATAACCCTGAAAATTGATTGGTAATATCTTCTACCCTTGCCTTTCCCATGTGAGGAAAACTCCCACCCCTTGACTAGCATTCCACTATCATTTTTAAAGACAACGAAGAGACAAAAGAACAGTAACAGTGAAAACGTTAAAGAGTTAAACTAGTTGGATTTAAATATCTTTTTCCTTATTGTGCTTCATTATATAGAGGAGCTTTGCTACACTTTCTGCTCAAATAAATTCCCGGAGTACTTATCTGCACACACCGCTTGTCATCCCTTTACAAACTACAAGTTTCTTGTTGAACGAAATATTTAACAAAATGTAAAGAGAAAGTGATTAAATTACTACTTGAGTATCTGAAATTCAAACTTACATAAACATTTAAAGAACAGTGTTGTGTAGATCTTTTAGCCATTGAAAATGTGGGAAAAAAAAAGTGTAAAACTTCGATTTTATGCTAGTTTCATAAAACAGTTTTTTTTTTTCCCCCTGACAACAGAGTTTTGCTAGAATCTTCAGTGTGGTTGGCTGCATTTTAAAATCCAGGAAATTGTATCTCAGAATCTCTCCTCCCCCCCCTCTCTCTCTCCCAGGCGTTTCCGCAGGCAGGACATCAGACATGGCAATGCCGCCCAGCAGTGCTTCGGACAGCAGTTTGTTGGTAATCCTTAGAAAAATCGCTTGTTCGCCTTTACCCAACGTATGCTGAGGGGAAACCGCACATTTCTTTGAATGAGTCACTTTCCTGAAACACTGTCCCTGGATGTATCTGTTTTTCTTGCAGATATTTAAAATCAGGTGTATGGTATTTTACAGAACTAGCAAAACTGGCTCCAGATACCATTGCTAATACAGTCTGATATTAGAGATCAAGGCTGAGGAACCTTAGGACTACAAAGCAGCAGAGCGCTGGCTGATGGCAGTGGCTGTCCTGGACCTCCCTCTGTGGGGCAGGCTGGCCTTAAACTCAGGATTCTGCCAGTCTCTGCCACATGAGTTCTGGGATTAAAGGTGTGTGCCACTGCCACCACCACCTGGTTTGAATTTATTTTTACTATGTATGACGTAGCATATGTCATTTTTAGAACAGATGAAAACTGTTTCTTCTTCTGCTACAGCAGAGTAACTTTAGAACGAATTATTAACTGTCCTCATATTTGTGCAACAACAAGAAAACTAAACAAAACAGGACATGATATTTTGAGCCATTGTATGATACCCAAGCTGTGTGTTATGTTATTGGGTTCACTGAGAAGCAACAGGATGATGGGTGCCACCTTTTGGAGCCAATGGTGGTTATGCCATTTTTAGAACTTGCAGCCCAGATATTTGTTCATTTGTTTGTTTTGTTGTTTGGATCCAAGCAGACTTGAGATTCAATGCAGTTATTCTAGCTTCTGAGAGTATCAGGAACAGAAAGCATGGCCTTAGTCTTAGGAAGTTTAGAGGTCAGTTTTGAAAGTGAGGGCAAAAATCCTGGGCAATCAAATGATACCCTTGTTTGAACATCTGCTGCTCATGCCTTCTCCTGCCTTATCAGAGAACATTGCCACAGATTTCCGTGAGTTCCTCTTTGATGGACTTATCACTGCCCCCTATTTTAGAACTAAGTTCCCAGATGCTACCTTCTAGCCCACTTCATCATCTACTATCCTTTTTAATCTCCAAATTCTCATATAGCATTCTAAATAATGGCTTTAAATGACTCAGTAGAAATCAGTACCCAGAAGAGTTACTTACATTACTGTGGCACCAGAACACAGTTTAAGAAATTAAATAAATTCCAATCTTAAGGCTGATGTTATTACCTTTCTGTTGTAGGAGACGCGTTGGACAGGACTGAAGAGAGGCTGGTTTATGGCATAGAAAGCAACAGTACTTTGCTGGAATGCACCCCACGGTCACTACAAGCAAAAGTCGTCTGGTTTGTACAGAAGGGACGTGACCTAAGAAAAGAAGAGGTAACTCATAGCTATGCATTCACCTTTAGTGTCTTACCTAGAGTGAGAAGCAGAAAACAGGTGATCTGGGTGTTTAAAATGAAACCATGTTGACTTAACTACGTCTTACTATTTCTAGAATATAAAACACCTAAACATGGTGTTGTGAGTTTGAAATTGTGACACTGGAGAGGGGCAGGCAAATTAATCTTGGAGGATAGGATCCAGCCAGCCAATCTTTCCAGTCTCCAGACTAGTGAAAGTACCTGTCTAAAAAACACATCATGGAGGGTTGCTAAGACACTAAGGTTGTCTTCTGGTTTATATATGCGCTCATGCTCATGTGCATAAACAAACCTACAAACACATATGTCAACACACATACAAACCTAATATTTTTTAAATCAATTTTCTTTTTTAAGTATTATTTATGTGTGTATAAAATTTTGTAATGTTCATACATGTCTAAACATGGTTAACATTTCAAATAGATTATTTTACATATATATATATATATATATATATATACATATGAATTGATATTTTAAATTATGGACATTGACATTTATGTATTTCTTCCTGAAAAAAGTATCTACAGCTTTATGATGTATGGCATGGCAACATCTTTATTTATTTATTCATCTATTTATTTATTTATATTTTTTATTTTTAAATAATTTTATACATTCACTTGTATCCCATCTGTAGCCCTCTCCCTCTTTCCCTCTCAATCCTCCCCTCCCTCCGTCATCTCCTCCCTGCCCCCTTCCGAGTCCATTGAGAGGGGGTGTCCTCCTCTCCTTCCGTCTGGCCCTAGCTTATCAGGTATCTTCAGGGTGGTTGCAATGTCCTTATCTGTGGCCTAGCAAGGCTGCTCCTCCCTCAGGGGGGAGGGGAAGCTCATGAGTTCATGTCAGAACAATTGCACGGCAACATCTTAAACTATATACACCAAGATAGCATTCCTGAACAATAGCAAACTTATGCACATATAAGAATAATAGTGATGTCAATGTCCATAAAGTTTTAAATCAAATATGAGATACTGACATAGGGTTTTAAGCCTTTTAAGCCGCTGGGAACAAAGGCAAGCCTCACCACTCTCCCCATTTTGAGTAGTTTTGGATAGTATGCTTCTGAGGTCATGTAAGAATTAGAAGCAACGACTTTGCTGCTTTGAAAGACAGGGGAAGAGGCAGCATTTGAAGCACACCTGGAATGGTATAGAGGACATTACAAGAATGGGGAGGTGACAAGAGAAAGTTGGTTAGTTGGTTGTGTCAAGGGCATAGGGTCTTTAGGAAGGGAGAGCGCTCATGCTTAAGGATGATCTCAACTCTATTTTTCCAAGTGGAATTTTAAATTAGCTACGAGAATGTTCACATCAGTGGGAAGATCTTGATGAATATAGTACAGATGGCCTTTGCTAAAAAAGACGTTTCAAGTTGAGTGAGTAATGGGATTCCTACAGCCCTGCCTTGTGCCTAGAGGAGAGGAGAGGAGAGCTGTAAGTGCATGACTCGTAGATGATAAATAGAAATGACGGCTGTGTTTATTTATTTACTTATTTACCTATTCATTTATTTGTTTGTTTTTATTTTTACTGGAGATTAAATCTGTCCCTCAAGTCAAAATTACCAATCCCCCCAAACACAAATTATTTGTTTTTAGTCTTTGGTGAAACTAAAAACGTTAGAGGGGATAAAATTTATAAATTTTGCATTCCCTCAGTATTCATTAGATAAGACTTATACCAGTTCAAGCCAGATGGAGTCCCAGCACTGAAAGGGGTCATGGACACAGACCCACTCCTAATCAAGAAGTTGTTTGAGAATTACTGACAGAGGGAAACTCAGTTTCCTCCGATGAAGTGTCATGGGTATATCAAGCACACCCCAGGAAGGCCCCATGACCAGGGTGCTTGGCCAACACAAAACCAAACCCAGGTTTATTTTGTTTTTGTTTTCTGTTTTTGTTTTTGTAGGCTTTTTGTTTCAGTTTTTATTTTTCTTTGTTTTCATATAGTATTTTTCTATGTAGCCCTGGCTGTCCTTGAATTCTCTCTATAAACCAGCCTGGCCTAGATATCAGAAATTCATCTGCCTCTGCCTCCATAGTGCTAGGATTAAAGACATGAGCCATCATGTCCGGCATTGTTTTGCCAGTTTTTTTTTAACTGTAGTTTTTTTTTTTTTATTTGTGTGTGTGTGATTTCTTTCTTTTGGAGAGAGAGGGGAGGAATATTGTTGGGTGGGTAGGAAGGTAGGGAAGACTGGAGTGAGTTGAAAAACATGATCAAAATATATTGTATGTTTAAAAAGTTAAAAACCGAAAAATAATTAAGAAGAGTTTCAACATGCTAAGGCTTAGGGATAATATGGAAATTTATCAGGAAAGAAAAACTCTTCTAAATTTTCATGGCACTGTAACAGTACATACATATGGAAAACTAATGCAGTATTCCACACTGAATTAAACTGTTTATTTATTGCCAGCCTATTTCCACTTCTCAAATGTGAGATAAAATGGCTTTTTAAATTCCACCGTAATACTTGGCAGAAGGGACCTGGGAATACTCCATGGTTCATTCAGTCAAAGGGCTTCGGAAGACAGAAGTAATTCTTTCATCAGTAGATTTCTTCACTTAGTGAGCTCTGTTTCTCATTTGGAACTCACTGTAATCTGCCTCATTTGGAAGTCATTCCAACATGGCGCATCCATCAGTGCTCAACTCTGAGCTTTGTTCCCATCTTGCTGATTTTGCCTACTTTCTTTCCAACTGCATTCCAATTTTCCTAACTGATATATGGAATTCTGAATTTACTCACTATGAAAATCATGGGACAGTCAGATAATTAATGGTTTCCATAGATATAGCAATATATGCATTTAATTATTCATAAGCTACACCAAAACAAAACTTCACCAGAGGCCAAATGTATAAATTCTATACTGAAAGCAGAATGGCTTAGAAAGTAAGTCCTCAGTTTCATTTAACTAACATTTTGCATTCATTATCATTTCTGTATCTCATTTACTTTGAGACATAGTAATTATATTGCCAAATGTAGACCGTAATAAAGGATGTTTAATTTTGCTTAGTCAAATTCTGAGCTCCTATGAGGATGCTGTGCACAGTATTACTGGCAATAACAATCAAAATTTATTCCTCACTTCATAAACTGGAAGAAGTCACTAACTTGGCAGCCAAGGGTACAAACCCTTTCCTTCTACTCAACTGAAATCTCTGATTCTAACAATCATGCCTTTTCAAGTGTCTACATATACCTGTTATTCTGAATCTTGCAGTGATATTTATAAATGATTATTAATATGACTAAAATATTTGATCATATTATTTTTTAGTAGTATGCTCCTGAATTGCCATACAGCATCTAAAATCTCATTTGTCTGCCTTCTAAATTTTGGATACCAGCCTTTTTCGCAAACATGCATCTTCTAGTTTCCTTGCCATGTGGAAATAATCTAGACATATTTTATTAGATCTTTAAATATTAAAGTCTGCTTTTCTAAGTACTTCTTACAGGACATTTTCTATAGTTAATTATGTTTTTTAATAGTTACCGTAAGCATATTAAATATTCAATGAATAAGTTAAATACATTGATTGTGAGATGTAACACTGTGATTTCCTAAAGAAAAGAGCCCTAGAGTGCTTTCGATAAAAGTTATTCCTTATTGCAATCCTACTGCACAGAGGACTGTGCTAGGTGCCTTTTTTGTCATTGCTAGATTTCTCAACTGAACAGTGGCCATGATTATTCAATGCTTACACACACAGAAACTGAAGTTGAATGAGCTGAAGCTGATGCACAGCCAGTGACATAGCCAATGTTTAAACTCAAGAAGTCCTGACCCACTGTTAGTTTATAGTCATTCGTTGTCTGAGTATTGAGAACTGTATAGTCTATAACAACCATTCTCAAACATAGTTTATAATCAAAGTAATTGAAATCCAGAATGTGTAATAACTCACACCTAATAAAATAAACTCAGGCCCAGAGCTTGTTCGGCTAAATGTTCTTCTGCAAAATGACACAACCTTCTGAAATCAGAATATAAATACAGTTTCGGATGCTTAGGGATGAAGAGCAAGTGGAAAACGTCTCATAGCTGGAGTTCAGACGTTTGACATCTGCCAGTGTAATCCCTACGAACACTTCAGCGGGCTGCTTTAGCTTCGCTGACAAAGCCATTATTCTTCATGTTTAAGTATCTAAGAGCCTTGCCATCATTTAACCTTTCTCCACTCTAAGCTCTGGTATCAGGAAACATTGTTATATAGTATATGCAGCAGTGGGTTTTCATTCTCTGTGTAACTTCCAAGTCTTCTACTCTTTGTCTTTTGGTTAAAGAGGGCTCCCACATTGCCATAAGTTGCTGTATCTTCTGAACACTTGTGTGCTTTTCACCATCCTAAGCATTTTATGTCTGTTAATACTTTTATCCCCTATAGTAGTTTGGTGATGGACCCTTTTAGGTAAAGAAAGTGAATCACAGAGAAAGTGGGCTGCTTCTGTGAAAGCACGTGGGCTGTGAAGTTACTGTGTTTTGAGGACACTCAGGTATCAGTTTAGGAAGGAGTGGGATAGAGAATGGGGCTACCACCCTTTACATATCTTACCCTGGACAGTGGATAATTAAGAACTGAGGGAGCTAAAGCTCTGAACAAAGGAAAACCCACATTTGGGAGAAAAATAAGATGACCAAGTCCAAATGAAATAGAAAAGAAGTAATGATTATAGTTATCATTCATTCAGTGCTTGCTGTTCACTCTGCACTGTTCTGAGTTTTAGACACAGTTACCTACATCAAACTTGCAACATTTCTCTGAAAAAGTAAGTGCTATTATATACAATATGAAGATGAAATTAAGTTGTCAGTATTTTTAGACTAGATTAGCTTAAGCAATTAGAGACAGAAGGGTCAGACAGGGGCATAATAGAACCTATAAGAAGAAAGTGGGTAAGATATGATAATCAGGAACATCCTTTGCAAAA